ACGCTCGATCCCTTACATTTATAGATATACCACATATATTAACCCGCCCTTGTTTTCCCAGCCATGTAGATCATCGACTCTTTCAGCGCTGGAGATCCGAATGATGAAAAAAAGAATACCAAAAAAGATCTGAACATCGGACCAAAGGGTGCTCATCTTAGAGCTAGGCGGCTACGGGGGCTACTCAGCCATTCTGTTCACGGATGTCTCGGAAAGGTGGGCGGTAAGTGCGTTCTATGATTGAGAAAACTCTGCCCTTTGCCGCTGTGGTGAACAGTCTGATCGACCTTGCCGAATTAGGGACAACCCTTTGGGTCGTGGTCAGCATCGGGCGCTGAAGGATTTCTGACCTCCGCACGGCCCTTTCGCTGAACATCCCTCGGCTGCCTGAGTGAGAGTATATTCCGACGAGGATCATCATTGAATGAACCCCCTTTTAAGCAAGTTGAGCTGCGACATTGCCCCGGGTCTCTGGCGACCTCCCTTGTTTCTATCTACTTATCTACGAGAGTTTTCCCATCTCTTCCGCAGCTCAGAACCAAAGTTACCGTCCATCTTAGCCCAGTATTCCGCTCATATATATTTGCCGCAGCAACTTGATTGAAGCCGGAAGCAGGATGCAACTCATTAGTTCGTCGATCTTTAACATAGCCCCTGACTCCGGCGTTGTTGACAATTTCGATTTCAGCAATCTCCAGGCGGAAAACCTGAAAGCACCATCGGCAAACTTCAATCCTGACATACCACCAACTTCTGGCCATTCAACTCCGACACCTTATTCGATTGGTTTTGGTTCCTGCTTCGCTCCGTCAAACCTCGGTGCACGCATGTCAGCCTCCAATGATTCGGGTCTGCCGTTTTCAACTTCGTTCGATTTCGGCTCTTCCTTCGCCTCGTTAGTCGGCGCGGTCCCGCTTGATCTCACGCCCGCTTCTTTAGCTACATTCCCCTCCTTCCTGACGGCGCCCAAGACCGACAACGCTTCCAACCCGGTCTATCCTGTTTTTCCCGTCACACCTTCGGGAGAGCGGGGTGACTTTTTCGGCCAATCCCTTGGGAGTTACGGTACTCAACTGACTCCTTCACACACCATAGACTGCACGCTCCTTGCCGGTTGCCTCAGTCGCGGCTCTCACCTATTGACCCCTCCCGTTATAACAACACACTTCGACCACGTGTCCGACATTGTGGCCCATCAGCTGTATTCGGACAGCTCCGTCAGCTCCGACCAACAGGTTTCTACGACGCTCGTCGGGACAACTGAGCCAATCAAGCAAAATGACGACAGCATAACAATGCCGTTGACCCCCTCTCCGTGTTCGATGGAGGGCGTCTTGGTGGGGCGAGCGCGGCATGGGGCGCCAGGACCCCAACAACTACAGCGGTGCTCAGGGCGGGCCGGGATCGAGAGAGAAAAGAAGCGTCGCGTAGTGGGGGGAGTCGACAGCACCTTCACCCTAGACAATGTCAGGCCCGCAAAACCATACAAATGCCCCGTGGAAGGATGCGTCAAATCGTACCGCAGGAATGAGCACGTGAAACGGCATATTAAGAGGTAAGTCAAACAAACGGAAGAAAATCCCCAGCTAGGACTAACATTGGCTCAGCGAGCATCATAGGGTATCGTTCTCTTGCCAGTTCTGCAACCATGCTGCCAACCGGCGGGATAACTACATGGCTCACCTCAAGCTACACACAAAGCAACGGAAGTCGGGGGCCGGCGAGCGTAGGGTGACTTTCTACGAGGATGCGGTGCGGAAATTTGCCGATGAGAAGCAGAATGAACGGCGACGAGGGCGGAATGCTAAGCTTGGTGAGCCGCTATCTAAGTAGTAGGGGGGGTAAGAGGGAGGTCCCAGTTTGCTTCCGAGTTAATAAGCGCAAGCCTGGCAACAAAGAAGCAAGATGCGAACTACACTTTACTGATAATCCCAATGTTTACCCTCCGTGGTGTCCTTCCTGCTCTGGGTGTGATTGCAAGTGGATCACCGTCTTCCCGAACCGGCCATCGGGCAATGGCGGGTAAACAGTCTTAGTGATAGTCATCCCAGGTTTGCTCGTGACTGTCACCTCAGGGGGCTGGGGAAGGTGCTCTCCGAGGAATTCGACCTCCTTCCCCGGGTCATGGGTCTTCGACAGAACCTCTGTATGCATATCCTGTAGCGCCTGGCTCTGTTCTTCACCAAGGATGTTAGTTATGATGTCAGAAAGTAATGCTCCCATAAAAGGGGTATGCGCAACATCAATTTCAGGAAGAATTGCAGTTTGACTAATTTGGCGTACCCTTCGACTGTGCAGCCTGCGCGCTAGCCTGTGCGCCTGTGGGCGGGGTCTTTGTGCGCTCCGTCGCCATTTCGAAAACTCCTTTCCTGCCGAGGCGGCTGGTGTGGCGGATTTCGATGATCGATCGGTCGTCGCAAATGCTAGGTTCTGCAAAATCGGTCAGAAAAAATCGAGAAAAAGAACTTCTTGACGAAACAACGTACGAAGGTAGAATAGTAGTAATGGCGCAGCTCGGTATAGGAGAGATGAAAGTTTTGGTAGGAAAACAGAGGGTAGAAGTTCGATGTTTCCTGCACGTGCCAGGATGGACAACTCTGTGGCGTTCGCGGGAGGCGCCCCACTTTTGGCATTTGAGTTCAAAGCCTCTCCTCGTCCCCGGCAACCGCTCTCCACCTGCCTCCCCTGCCTCTCACCCCAGTGCTGCAGCATGAACACAGGATCCTTGCGCCGCAACAACCTGGCGGCCCGCTACCTCCTGTTTCTTCGCTCTGTCTTCGTCTTCCAAGCGCGTTTCTTCGACCGCATTTCTCCGACCGCTCCCGATCCTTCGGCCGACCTTGTCCAACGATTTTCTGCGTCGACCGCGTTGTGTTGCGAACCGGTCAAGCCGGGAAGGTGCTGATTCCTGCGGGGAGTTCTATTTTCTTCTCGCGTTCTTCGTTACAACCGCGTGGCCGTTTTCCGACCCCAGCCAGATTGTGCAATCAGCCCCCTCGGCCCCTTCAAACAGTTATTCGGGACGGAACATAGTAAGAACCAGTCGCTTTAGCATTCCGTTGATGCGTTGATGCCGGGAACTAACCGCCAAATAGTTCCAGTTCGACTCCGGCTAGGTTGGACACCCAACGCCCTAACTCCTGTCAAACCTTTCTTTCTGTTCCTTTTTTTGTTTCCTTCGGTGCGCCGCCAACTCTTTGTGCAACATTCCGAGCGCGCTACGCGCCGACAATTTAACCAACCACCGCCCATACATCTTACGGTCGTTGATTGTCGATGAACGTAGTAAGTAACGATTAATATCCGGTCGGCGGCCGCGAACTGACCCAATCACCTGCGGATCCAGTTCCCTAAAGTCTATCACGCTATGGAGGCGAGCGAGCCTGAGCGATCTCTGGAGGGACGCCAAGCTTTTTCCAGTAGCAGCCGCCTCCCAGGTACGCCCAGCCGATTTCGCCCCACCTACGGTTGAAGCTAACTCCTTTGCCCGTCAGCCATGCCGACCCCATCAGACTCCCACATACCCGAGTAGGACGCGGGAAATGGCAGCTCTAAAAAGCGCGGTGTGTCTGAGCCGGGCTCTGCAGCGCTCTGGGCCTTGACTCCTGCCAAGCGGCAAAAGCAGGTTGACAATTCTAGCGTGCCCGAGGATAGGGTTTGCCTTCGAAACGTTGGTGTTGCGCTGGAGTTGCAATCCGGTACAACGTTCATCGGCATCCTGACGCAGTGGCTGACCCGCGAGAGGTACGACGAGAGGGAAGACGTCGTATCGGAACGCATCGATACGGGCGCCCTTCTCGAGGCGCTCCAGGAAGCGTTTTTGGACGATACGAGAATAAGAGCGCCGAGTCACGCCCGCTCAGCCACCGTATGCCTTGACTCCTTAAGGCTCGAAGTGGAAATCGGCCGCTATAGCGGCAACCAGAGATGGCTAGACGCGAGCACTGCGCCCCTCCTTCGCCGGGCTCTCAACAGCGCCTGCGAAGAGGGGCTGGAGAAAGACCCTCACTATGGGGATCATATCTTGCTGTGCCGCTACGTCACGCAACCAACTGACACTACCCCCAGCATACGGTCCGACACCGAACCGGGGGAGGGGGCGCCATTTAGCCCTGCCAGGTCGGCCGCCCACGACAAGAGAACCGAAGAACGCGAAAGGGACAACGACGTCATTTCGATCTCGTCCAACGCTCACACGGAGCCGGACGATGGGGCGCTATCTGACCCTGGTGGACCGACCACTGCATATGATGAACATGAGGCCAACGACGGCCCCGACGCGCTGGGCTCTATAACGCTTGGCGGGACCGAAGAAGAATGGACGGAGGCCTGCCGCTTCTTCCGTCACGACCCAGCGTGTAGGGAGATGGATAGCGGGAAGAAGCTGTTCGGCACCAAGATGGCGCTACGCCCCGGCCAGCTGCGGGATGTTTGGCACTTCCTGGATGCCACGTACGGCACGGGCCGAACTGGCTATATCAGTGCCCTAGACACGGGGCTCGGCAAGACGATGGTGGCTCTAGGTACCGTCGCCGTCTTGCGAACGGTGGATCTGATGAGACTGGTCTGTCGGGGCGACCCGGACACGTGCGAGGTGGCCGAAGGCTTCGGATACAACGACTGCATCTGCCGATCCGGCTCGCTTATGTCCAAGATCCACCAGGAGCTGATTCCGGGTATCACGGTCTTCCTCACGCCGAACAGCACAGTCCAGGGAGCCCAAAATAGCGCCGACGTGTTTCTGGAGCGGGTTGTCACTCTGCCAGATGAAACCAAGTGGGAGTTCGTCGAAGTCATCCGGTCAGAGGCCAACAAGGAGACAAAAGAGAAGTTGTTCGCTCATGATGTCGTCGACGGCGGGTAACAAGATCAAACGTGCCAAGAAATCGTCGGGCGCGGGGAAAGGGATGCCAGCAAAGAAAATGAGCGGTTTTGACAGCATCAACACTGGCCAGCTGAACAAGAATCAGAGCGCGGAAGGGCTTCAAGATTCGGCAGTTTCCTATCTGGACGACCGACAGGAGTACCCCTTCAAGGAGCGGCACTTCCTCCTGATTTTACCCTCTGACGCGTCATCCCTAGACCCCAGGCACGCCATCATGCGTAGCCTCACCAAGACCTACCCCCTCGCCGCACAAGGCTGGCAGAGGAAGGTTGACGTGAGGATTGTAGCTCCATTTTGGGTGCGGCATTGCATCCTGGATGAGTTCCCACCGGATCAAGGGAGGAGACACGATCGTGTATACCTGCATGAAAATGTTTAGGCGGCGCCATCCCACCGGGAAGATGGTGAGCATGTTCATGAGTGCGACCCCCTTCACCAAGGAGCTCAAGGCCAGCCTCAAGGTCCCTTTAGACTTCATTCTGCCCGAATCCTGGAGCAGTGCCGGCGACCAGAAGCGCGCCGGCCTGAGCCGAGCCCGGTTCGATACGCTGGTGTTTGACCTACTAAGGTCGCAGCGAGGTGCAGATGATACTAGCGAGGCGGTGTTTGGGGAGTTGAAAGACTTCCTTGCCGGCTTCATGACTCGGCGCACCGTCCAGTCGCGCTTCTTGGGGGGGTTGGAGTGCGCGCTGCCACTTCACAAGAGTCGGGTGATCGACTGTGAGAAACCCCAGGGATCGTCGAAACAAGACGCGTGGTCGAGCATTGTCCGATCGGCAAAGCAAGGGGGAAAGGGTGGTAAGTCTTGCTTGGTTCCGTATCTCGTGGCTATGGTTCGCCGCTGACCGCTCTCCGCCGGACAATGTAGGTGACTTCGATGCGGCAACCATATTCAACCGGCTCACCAAGACCGGGGGATTCCTTTCACAACTCTATGGGGCGACATTTACCCACCCGTCTCAGCTGCAGATGACGGACGTCGACCCCGAAGCATTGGCCGCCATCCAAAAGGGGTGGGACCATTGGATTAAGGCGCAATACGCTAACCACTTGGTTTACTTGACGCCAGAGGGTCGCCGCAAACACGAAGCGGCCACCGCCGGGGCTGTGGACTATCTGTGCAAGGGGACCTCGAAGACAACTGAAATCGAGCGGATACTGGATACGGCCATCAGAGACAAGTCCATGCCGGCACCTGGGTTCAAGTACCCCCCTGGTAACAAATGGCAACGCATCAAGGGACCCGTCAAAAAATCCGTGGTTTTGTTCTGCTCGAGACCTGGGATCGCCGTGCTCTACGCCCTTTACGCGGACAGGCATTGGGCCGGCAGCTGGGATGTGCAACTTTTGACCGCCGCGTGCCGAGACCGCCAAAGCCTGATTGACGAGGCACTGGGGCCGGTCGGGTTCGACGAAGCAAGAAAACCCGCTCTCCTCATCGCGGTGATGTCAGTATGCGGCGAGGGGGTCAACGGCATGCAACGAGCTGCCTACAGCATCTCGGTCGACCTGCCCTTCTCTGAAGCCCTCAAGGCGCAGGTGGCGGGCCGGGTCTACCGCTACGGCCAGATTCACGTCTCGCGGCATTACCAGCTGGTATCCGAACACCCAGCGGAGCGCATCATTCTTGCTCGCCACGAGAAGAGGGATGCCGACTTCCAACAGCTCCTGGAGGGAACGGAGTAGGGGTGTGGAAGACCAAGAACCGACTTGTTGCCTTTTTCGTTCATGCTCGACGGAGGACTGCGAAGCGAGAATTTGTGTGTTGCGCGGCTGAAGTCAAAGGGGAGTTGCGTTTAATGTGCGGGCAACCGGAATGTCAGCTTGTTTGCAGTAGTTATCAATAATCGTTGCTATAGGGCCGTACCTAGTCACGTCAAGAAGCCTGTCAATTTCCTCCTTGGGGAGCATTTACCCCTTAATGTCGATATATAGGAAGTAGATTCCAACAAAGGCAGTGGTTCAAACTACAAAGAGAACGAGAGATAATACCGGTAACTTGTCGCGGCAGATCCATCTTCCTAGCGAGGTCGACGGTGTCCTTGGCCGCCTTAAAAAATCTCCTCTACACTGGCCCCCTAAAAGCCCTGCGGCTCCTGAATACCTAAAAGCACGAGCCGGCGTCGCGCAGTCGAGCCGGATCTTGTCCACGGTCCGGGTGCGGAATGGGCGGTAGACGCTCTTGCGGTGCAAGTTTGAGATGCCGCGGTCGACAATCTGGGCCCCGATGTCGGGGAAGTTCTCAGGAACGTTGCGTGCGCGGCGAACGACATATCACCCAATACGAACATCCTCTTGGGCGGCGCGTACCCGCCGCCTGCCCGTTGGATAGTCAGTTAACTACCGACTGTTCCGCACGCGCAAGGCTTCAAGCAATGGCAGAGTAGGGAAAGCATGGCCGACCTGCGACGATTGCAACGCGGAAAGAAAGCGACCTTACCCTCGGCTGGTCGGGTGGATGGATGGTTGAACGAGGCGGTTGTTTGCTAGCTAGCGTGCCAGGTCGTGGGTAGGTTGGTTTGCGCGGGCGGGGCGAATCGACAATGGTCGGCGGGAGAACTCGGAGTTGCAGAGAAGAATCCGCTCGAGGAACGGCAGCAGGGGCCGGCCGCGAACCGCGGGGCTGCGGAAGGCCGCGGCGGTGGAGAACGCCGCAAGCACGATTGAGCGCTGGACTGGGGGAGCTGTAGATACAAACAGGGTAGTGGAAGACGCTTGGAGAGCGAGGTGGCTAAAGGAACGGGACGGCAGAGCAATCACCAGACCGGCGGACGACTTTGACCATCAGCGAGAGACGCTGTTCCGAGATGAAACCCTAAGTTCTGCTGATCCAGATCCAAACGGGAGCAATAGGCCTACGGGACTGCCTGTTTACACGGGGAGTCCCAGAGGTCCTAACGCCCGCCTGCCAGTGCGGCGAAGGACGGGAGACTGCCGAACAGTGCATTCAGGGGACGCATTCAAGGGATGCAAGGTGGGGTTTAGGTTGCAAGGGCAATTCGCGGAAGTCCAACCAACAGTCAAGTATGAAGTGTTGGTCTTGCCGGAATGTACGTGGAAATCCACCATCTTAGTACAAGAGATTTAGTGCGCCAACCAAGGCTTACAAAATCAGCTGACAGGACCAGCAGGCTGATCAAACCCTGCAGTATCGATACTCCAACCCACAGCCGTGATATCGTGCGCGACCCATAACGTCCGACGAGACCGACCGAAATGAACAGAGAGGCAAAGAAACATAAAGCGGAGGAAACCTTCCCTCTCATGCCGCAGCCCAACTGATCAGGCATCGCCAAATTGCGTGGCCGAGTACACCGTCGCCCGGTCCGCAATACCATTCGCATGGCCAACACCAAGCGTCCCCATGCTATCCTGCGACGCATCAAATCCATTGGTATACTGCGACTGCGAGGCGGCAGCGGCAGCCGCAGCCAACTGCTGCTCATGGGCGTGGCGCTCCAGGTTGACAATGATATCCATCGCGCCATCAAGCGTCTCCTTCTCGGCGCGCAGATCCCGACGCTTCTGCTCTATTTCGGGGCCCTCCGACATCAATCGCTCCAGTACGTCCGGGGCGGTCGAGCTGCTGGTGAGGCCTAGCTTCTCGTGCAGATACATTTCAATCACAGACGCCACCCGCGGCAGCAGGCCCGACATGACATGGATCGAAACATAATCCACAAACCGGTTAGCCGCAGTGAGGTAATACCCACGGATGTATGCCGCGACAGCGAGTTCAGGCTCGAAGGGATCCGGGCCGAGGTTCTTGAGCTCGTTGACCATCTTGGACTCTTCCTGCTTCCGGTCCTCGTCGGTCATGTCCTCCATCTTTGGGACGGCACAGAGCTCCTCGCCGTTGTAGGCGGCAATGCGGAAGTGGTTGCGGTGGCGTACCAGGATCTGCTTTTCCGCGGCCTGGTTGCGCTTGAGCGCTCCTTCGTCTTTGGTGAAGAGCCGCTTGGATTCGAGATTGTAGATAAAGTCGAGTTGGGCGCGCAGCTCGGTGCGGTGGGCTTCGATAAAGGCGCGCATGTGCTCGCGTGACTCTCTGTAGACGGCGCGGTTTGTGAGGTGCGCGAACGCGGCGTCGAGAATCGTGAAGATCTCGCTCTGGAGAAGGGCAAGCGTGTTGTCCACGAACTTGTGGAGGTGTCTGTCCCAGCTTTTGGCGGCCTCGGTGAACAATGGTTCGTAAACGCTGGCAGACACGAGACCGGGTTGGCCTGGGACTGCGGCACGCCTGATGAGGTGCCGGATGTCCATCAGACTCCTAGACCGGCCGCCTCGGGAAGACGTCATAGCCGGCGTCGCACTTCGCGTATGGCGAGGGGTTGAGGGGAACATGTGGTTGTCCCGCGCCTCGGTCTTGACGACGGCATTCACTCGCCGCTGCCTCTTGGGATTGGACGCCCGGGTCAAGTCCATGGCCGGAGCTGGGCGTTTCCGAACGGTGGGCGATGGTGTCGGGCTGTCGCCGTCGAGGTCGATGACCACTGGGGATGGTTTCGACACCTTCGCGTGCTCGCGAACGTTGAATTTTGGCTTCATATTGAGAATAAGGGCCTTAAACGGTCCGCCGTAGCTATCGTTCCAAGAACTCATAAAGTCTTGGTGCATGACACGATCTTTGACTCGAATTGTAAACTCCGCCAGCCTCTTCATAATCTCCAGCTCCGGGTTCGGCGGTGGATCGGGGTATTTTTTCAGTTGCTTCGAAATGTCGGCGAGGCGGATGTCTACCTTCTCCCTCACTTCCGGCAGTCTAAGGCGAGGTGAGGTTAGTTACATGCTTGTGGAGAATGGTTTCGAACAAACTCACGTCTTGGCAAACTCTTCACCCAGCTTCTCCGACAGGAACACCTTGAGCTTCTCAACGCCGCACTTCTCCTTAAAGTGATCAAATACTTCGGGCCAGTGGCCTGTAGCATCCGCAGTACGGTTGAAAAACCTCTCCTCCATCTTGTTCTGCTCGTCCAGGTCGCTACCCTGGCGGGAAGTAATAAAATAACCAAAACCGGTTTGGTGGGCTTCTCCGTTGAGCATGCCAAGCCAGCCCGAGGCAGCATGGTCGTCGCGCGGCAGTAGATCGGCCTTGGTCATGACGCCGATACACCGGTTTTGGGCTCGTTGGCCCCTGATGATCTTGAGGGCAAGGGAATTCTCCGTGTCCTGGTTCATCGGAACCGCGCAGAGGATAATCGCACTAGGGCGCGAAATGTATTCTCGCGTAAGGTTCTGGACAACGCGCTCCAGGAAGATGTCCTCGCTGCGCCTGGTAGTCATGAAAACGCCGGGGAGGTCGTAGAAGTTTAGATCCGCTAGATCTGGACCCTTGACCTCCAGCGCTACGGTATTCGGAGAGAATTGCGCTTCAGATCTCTCCTCTTTCTTCTTGACTTGCTCAAGATGTTGCTCGCGAGTGTTGTCAGATGCTTCGCCCTTCAGCTTCGGGATAAAGAACTGGTAATGGGTCGATGGATTCAGAATGGCAACTTGGGCACAGCGAAGAACGGTTTCGATCTCCTCGGAGTCGAACTGGTCCCTCACGGTTTTGAACTTGCGCCGTGCTTGACGGCTGGGGTCGAGTTTGGCCCACGGTGGGAATTTGTTGTTCCCTGTAACGTCTCGCTCCGTGAGCGGGTGGTTGGGTGGACAAAAGTCGTAATCTTGCTTCAAAAAGACACGGCATGACCACTCATCGGCGCGAGAGACGCAGATGTGAATTGGGCACCGAGTGCAAGTTCCACTGCTGCGAGGGAGGCTGAGCCCCGCGATGGCGGACATAAGACTGGATTTGCCGGAGGACTGGTCCCCGACGAGAACCAGCTCTGGCAAGCTGGCGACATGCTGGATGCCGCGGGCTTGGAGCTCGCCCAATGCATCGTTGATGTCTTTGAGCTTCTGGCCCATGCAGCGAAGCGCTCGATTGGCCCCAGCGAAGGAGCTCTGGACGCTTTGCGGGCCCAAGGGGTTGAGCTCATGCTCGGACTTGGGCCCACGTCGAAACTCCAGCATTACGAGGTCATCATCCTCATCCTCCGGACCGTTGGGTGGACTGGACGCCGTCGTAGGTCGTACACAAGTTTCGATACTCGCTGCCACAAGTCAATCATTTATTATGCGACTAGAGTCGGAGATACCACTTACGTGCTGCCGAACGGACTGGACGTCGCCTCTGAACTCGCTCACTAGCCGTTTCAGACGGGGCATCCGGAATGGAGTCCGGAGTCGCCATTGAGCGGACTCGGCCGCTTTCTTGTTTGATGCGCGGCATCACAACTTAGATGAATTGATCTGATGGGTTGTTAGTCGAATGAAACGGATTGATCAAAGTGAGGGATGAAGATGAAAAGTGTTGCAAGGAAATGGTCACGACTTGCCTGTTTCGACCGACTTGTACGGCGCGTCAAATCTACATCACTGCCAAAACCCAAATCGCACTCGGCCCACCCCACCGTGGCATGCCAAATTATGTACGGACTAGCCCCCGCTTTGAGCGATCATTTTCCCCCACATCGAGTGGAAAATCAATAACCGAGCTCCAGGTACATTAGGTCCTACCAAATGTGGTAGCTAACTACCTAGTTATTAAATTGTTAGTATTTATATACCTTCTTTTTACTCAGCAAACCCCTATAACCGAGGCTAATTCTTTTTGTAGAATTACCTACTGTGACGGCCCGGCGCAGTCACAACGAGGTTGGTCATGTGATGACCTATTCACTGGTTCATGCACTGCCCCTGCTACGGTTCTGGAGTATCCACTCCTATTCACTGAACACCGAAACAGGTCCCTTGTTGATTGGATATGGGGGCTCTGTATCCGGGAACCTGTGAAAGCAACAGCAACAGCGACCGACAGGAACCGACCGTCCCTACGTCTATAAAAGGCCGCCGTTTCTCCCCTGGAACCGCACGTAGTTTAG